CCTTATTAATCTTTGCTGTTCTGAATGACAGAAAGACAGGAAGACTGTCCATAGGAATAAAAGTTATCCAGACTTGTTCAGCTACAGGTAGTGCTCACTTAATTACTTGTCCAATGGTTTAATGACCATTCAAAGTTTTGACAGTCTTGACAGTCTTGGAAAGAATGCTTGACAGCCCTGTAAAGCAGTGTTTCTCAACCTTGGCAACTTGAAGATGTCCGGACTTCAACTCCCAGAATTGCTGGCTGGGGAATTCTGGGAGTCGAAGTCCAGACATCTCCAAGTGGCCAAGGTTAAAAAACACTGCTTTACAGGGTTGTCAAGCACTCTTTCCGAGACTGTCAAGACTGTCAAAACTTTGAATGGTCATTAAACCACTGGACAAGTAATTAAGTGAGCACTACCTGTAGCTGAACAAGTCTGGATAACTTTTATTCCTATGGACAGTCTTCCTGTCTTTCTGTCATTCAGAACAGCAAAGATTAATAAGGACTCCAATCAATGGTTCAACATTTTGAAGAAGTGTGGGAAAGGAATATTTTTTGTAACAGCACAAAACAAGTACTTATAACTAATGATAAAAACTAGTGCTGCTGGAAATTACCACCATGTACCAGTATTGTAGAAATCTACAGATATTCTCAGTGGGCCTTCAAATTAAGGAAATGCTCTTTTCTGAGAAAGCTTTCCTAATAAAAATGTTATTTCTTCACTCAGAAATGACTGTTACTTTCAGAAAAAAAATACTACTGGAACTTGCAGAGAATATTTAGATGCCTTCAGAATGCAGGTACAAAAATACCCATTGGATCCTAGACTTAAAGGAAATATGAAGCCAACTTTTCCAGCCTGTCCCAGCAGATAGGAACCTTCTGTATTCTATACCTTGACTGCAAGTTCTTTCTGTCTCTCACTGGGAATATCAAGAGGTAAAGGCCTCCCTTCTGGGGTACCATCTGCAGAGATTGGAGATGAGACATATGATGTGCTACGGGAATCAGAATCTTCACTGGAGCTTGAGGACAAGGAATCCAGACCTAAGCGCTGAGTTGTCTCCAGCTTCTCACGCAAGAGCAGATAATGTCTTGTTTTCTCAACCTATGGAAAGAAAGGCGAGTTTGCGATTGATACCTTCCGTTATTAGAAATGGCATGCCAGGTGGAGAATTGTGGAACTTAGAATCCATACATCTAGAGAGCATCCAGGATGGAGAAGAGCATTTTAAGTATTTTACTCTACATCATTCTACTCTTGCCACCTGGCCCATTAGTTGGGCAGGACTAAGTTAATGTGAAATTGACAGTTATCAGGCCCCTCAGGCTAGAGACTTACTTCTTGTAGAAGACTCAGTTTTTCCAGTTCCCACTGATGATCCAAGATGAGACTATCACTACGGGGTCGCCACCCAGCTAAATTCTCTTCTCCTCGTACGTAGGCTACAGAGGTGTCCAGCACACGCCTTCTTCTCCTTTGCATACCTACAGAGGAAATCTTTACTCAGCATAGCTGTGTTCTATAAGCATGTGCAACACATTCAAATTTTTTATGTTATAGCAACAATTAAGTCTTGCCTTCTAAAGCTATATCCCTCTTGTTTAAGTATAAGCCCAAAATCTCATGGAGACCCTTTCATAAAGACAAAATCTTTTACCTGGACTGCCAGCATCAGCAACTCGGCAGAGGCTGAGCTCATAGACCCCAGTCACACGGTTACTGTAGCAGAAAGTGAAAAACAGAACAAGATAACAGAAGATACACCATTCTTATGAATATGGTACATTCAAGGAATCATTTTACTCCACTTCATCTTTCAAGATGAGAGGACAGAACTCTGTTTTTTGGGGAAATTTAATGTTAAGCTGAAAGTTTTATATGGAGCCTAACAGCCCTAAGTTAAGTCAGTGAACATAACATAGTTAATGTCTACGAATAAATACACCTACAGCTTCCATGTCAGTTGATCAGGAATATATTCTTTATCCCAATAAGATGTGCTTGCCTTCTGGCCTTTTTTACCTTTCTGAAGCTCGAAGGCTTCCACTTCCAAAAAGATTGCGGATTGATCGAGAAGCAGGGAGTTTGGCATCTCTGGAGTAAAAGACCATACAAAAATCTTTGGTGATGATAGCAGGTTGAGTGCAGTTCTCCATCTGAAATGAAAGCATAATCTTATTATACTCTTAGGCCTGAAGAATCAGGACCACACATTAAGCTCTAGTTAAGTTGATTTATACACAAGATTTTAGTCTACTAATGGACAGTACTAAACTGTCTAGATAAGAGCTAACTGAATTCAAGAGAGGCGGGACTTGGACTGTTTGTGGGAATGTAACAACTCCAGGTTAATTCCTCTCTTGACTCTAACCCCAGGCTCTGTCTCTCTTTCACATATACAGTGATTTTTTTTAAAAAAAAACAAGCTTAAACTGGTGATTCATTTCTATATCTGTGTAATTTTCTTGTATTCCTACAAAAGTTGATTTGTTATTGTCTTTTTTATGGGGTTTTAGACAGAATATTGAATCCAACCCACATGCTTCTCGATCAATCC